TCCACACCCTGGAGTCTAGAGTTGCTCTGATTCAACGTCAGGCATTACTCTATCTTGCTAATCTATTTACAGATAATCTCTAATTAGATTTTTTGGAATGAAAATTCCCTTAACGACGAGTTACTTAAAAAGAGAAATCCATAGTTCCGTTGATGATTTTCAAATATTTGTTTCCTACCAATATATCCATTCAAAAATTCTTGTAATTTAGCATAGCAGAAATCAAGAATGATAATGTGTTGTATCAAAGAAAAAAAGACTCTAACTTAGTTCTAGAAACGGTTGATGGAAAAACCTAGGGGTAAACATCAATAGTACATGTTGTTGGGACAAGAGATTGACAGTTATCTCTATTCCAGAACAAGAGTTCCGAATCTCGCTCCAAACTGGCTGGAGTATGGCACGAAAACCTAGGCTCTTAGAATAAAGTCACCAAATATTCTACAAAACTAGCCACATATTCTCCCAAAATTGTCAGGGAATCGAATAATTACCGATGGCATTTGTAAAATCACCGAAATTCGGGATCCAACGAGTCAATGCTTTCTAATCTTATAGACAATAATTTATAACTAAACTCCGTGATTTTTTCATTGATTTATCGTTAATTCTTACCGTCACTCATATTTCTGTCCTATGATGTTATGACATCTACTGTACCAAGCAACATATGTTCTTGATACCGTACAATGTAAAATTAGATATCATATCCATTAACTCATAAAATCGTGTTTTTTGATTCATCATTAACAATTTTATGAAAAAAATTTGAAAAACCCACCCCAAATTCAATTTATTCCGTACAAACATTCTCTTGAATATATGAAAAGAACTGGGATTACAACTGAATAGTCGCGTTCTTGATGCCAGAGAATACGATTTCGATCACAGGGCTGAAAAAATACTGAACTTAACATGCTGTCGATTGCATGAAATTCAAGAATGTTCTCTATAAAAATATTTGACTTGCGTTTGTTTGCATATCACATTGTACTTCCCACGGTGAAGTATCCTCCGAAATCTAAAAACTCTGATGAGAAAATTTCAACTTACCGTGCTCAGCAATCTTCACATTGGATCCAGTGATCATTCTCTTGAGACTAGTCTTTGATGTATTTTGCACTATCACTTCTTTATTTCACTTTAATAGATAAGAATATTCCAATGAAGAGACCCTTTTGATAATGAGAATTATTCCTTCTCGCAAAGAATACCGGAATGTAGTGAGGCGAATCATTAACATAATTGAAACAATCACGTTGATGCGTTCTAGACTAATATAATTATTCGTGATTGAAAAGGATATCGATTTTATTTATTATCATTGCTATTAGATTGAACTATTCATGGTCTTGCTATCATGCCCATATTCTCTTGGCGGAAAGTAATCTTGCTTACATTTAATATCAATCTGATGAAGTTTCTATTCTCTTGTGTGAAGAATTCGTACTTTTCGCTATAGATAATTTTGTTTTTCATGATTTTCGACAGAGGTGATAGGGTTTCCAATCAAGTAAGTCGGTCCTGAGGGCACACATCTTCCTCTCAGAATATACTTCAATTAGGTAAAACTAAGAATCTCTTGTATCAAGAGATTCATGGTCAAAACCCCATTCCCTTGTCTCAAGAAACCACTTCTGTCGTGTCAGAGATTTTTTCTATCAATGCAGTTTTCGTCTCTAGTGTCATAAAATAGTATATTTCAGCACGTGTGGGGCAATTTCGTCTTTAACGTGTGTGGGGTTTACAGCATGAGCCGAACGCGAGTGATGTAACCACACACGTTAAGGACGAAATTTCCCCACAAGTACTGAACAAAATTTTATGTCACGAAGCCTATGTGTAATCCAGCCGGTTTCAGGCATGAGTGGCATAATAGTATATTGTGTTACTAGTGCGTAAAGTTCCACTTTTTCGCATGCACGTAAAAAACATTCTGTTTTGCAGTACCTGCCGAGTTCATTGTTCGGAACGGTAGTGGGGGTAATGTGTTTGTTTGTATGCACACGTGCGTAAAGTGAATTTTGCGTAAAGCGAAGATTTTCGCGATTCGTAAAGCTCACGCTCGTGAACTTTACGCACGCCGTACGAAAAACAACCGCTTTACACACACCGTTTCGAAATAGTATATTTCGATACGATTGCGGGAAAGTGTTTTTGGGCTCGTGGGAGGTGGATAGCACGAGCCGAAGGCGAGTGATATAATCCCACGAGTTAAAAACACTTTTCCCGCGAGTACGAATCCTATTTTTCATCACAATGTGTGGGAAGTGGGGTTTTGCGCACGCAGAGCGTACGTAAAATGTCACTTTACACACAGCGTGATGAAAAGGGCACTTTTGAGATAGGTATCACAAAAATAAGATTTCTCAAACTATGTCGGGTATGGTGGCAACCAGGGTGGCAACCATCCCGTCAGTGAAACATTACGCAATTCTACGCGCATGACGTCGAAAACAAGGATGCAGAATGCATGAGGAGTGAGAGACCTTTTTTGGGCGAGAACAAGCCCAGAGGAGAAGAGAAGACAAATAATAGAAGCAGAAAATAAAGGGAACTCTACTCACAGAAGAAAAATATTCTTGAATTGGCTATAATATTCCGGAATCAGGAATATATGTATTCCGAAATCCGGGGTATTATATTCCGGAATCCAGGATATTTTATTGGCAGTGTCTATTCGCACGCGCCACGGTAAAGCTTACCGTGGATTCACGGTAGATCCTCACTCACATCTTGTCTGACATCTCTGCTATGAACTCTGGTTTTCAACTCTGACAATTGAGTTGAAAAGCAGAGTTGTGGCAACATTGTCCAGTGGGGTCTAGGAGTCTCCCCTGGTTCAAAAATCATCCTTAGAATCATTTGCACGCCATTTCGCGACCCGCTCTTAGAATGTAAGCACACGGGCCTAAAAAAACATTCACATCTTCCCTGACATCTCTGTTATAAACTTGGGTTTTGAACTCTGGTTACAGAGTTGAAAACCAGAGTTGTGACAACATTGTCCAGTGAGGTCTAGGAGTCTCCCCTGGTTGGAAAATCATCCTTAGAATCATCTGCACTATATCTCGCGATGCGCTCGTCCACTCGGGCCTAAAAAAACATGCACATCTGGTCTGACATCTCTGTTATGAACTTTGGTTTTGAACTCTGGAGGTAGAGTTTAAAACCAGAGTTGTGGCAACATTGTCCAATGGAGTCTAGGAGTTTCCCCCGGTTGGAAAATCACCCTTAAAGTCATTTGCACTATATTTTGGTACCCACTCCTGCACTCGGATCCCATTAGACAAATATGAATATTGTTGAGAAAACGTTCACTTAAAATGGAAAAAAAAATTATTTCATCATTTATGTGCATTTAATGAACTATTTGTCAACTATTTATTTCATTTTTTATTTGCGTTAATCTAGACTGATATCCGTATTCAACAAATTAATATTTTGAGAAAATTATTTACTAGTTAACTATCTGCCTATCACTTGTCAATTGATTCGATGTGTCTAGTTTATTGTCTAGATTTAATTTGAGAAGTACAAGTTGAGGGTCCACGATCTCCCATATATCCATGGTAGAAATTACCTTGAATCCACGGGAAAACGTCCCGTATATTCACGGTCAAAGTTACCGTGGAGCGTGTGAATAGACACTCCCTACTTTCTTCTTAATTGCGGAGACATCCCCAGGGGTTTACAGATTTTTCAGAGGGTGAAGGAAGTGTCGTGAGACATTTTTCAATACCATCGGTCGTTCGGAGTATTTGGGGTGCGGATATTTTTTTCCGTACTGATTTTCACTTTTCCCAGGCCGGGGATTGCTATTCGCGATCGCAACGTAGATGTGGGAACCATCAAGTGGTCTCCAAACCAACTACTCTTGGGGGCCAACCAATGAGATCACGGAGAACTCGGCGTTTTCATTGATTAAAGCCTATCAACCTATCATTGGTTCAGCCCTAGTGATTTCATTGGTTGGCCCCCAACAGTAGTTATTTTAAAGCCAACTTGGTGGTTGTCACTTCTATGTTGCGATCGCGAACTGACCCTTCCCCGAATTGGCAAAAATGAAAGTCACTAAGGAAAAATATTATTCGCGTCTAGTGCCACAGGGGTTTTCAACTCGTGTGATTGGTACGCCCCGTCTTCGGCTCGGCGTGCCAACCTCACTCACACTCGTCGAAAACCCCAGTGGCACTCGACGCGAAATCAACTATTTTTTCCGTGCTGTACAAAATGTTGATGTGATATGTGGAGGCTAAGCCATGCCGTGAAAAAAGGTGATAAAAAACGTTACATGCTTTTTTAAAAATGGCATATTACTTCTTTTCTTTCATTACAAGAGTCCTATGCACTACTCGACACGCACGAAAAAATTTAATAGAAAAACCTATCGAATTCGTTAGAAAATTCCATTGAATTTCTATCAAACTTTCTATTAGTTTTTGGTTGATTCTACTGACATGTTCAGTAGAAAACATTTAATAGAAAAACTCAACAGAATTCGATTTTTCTATATAACTTATTCTTTTCACATATTTTTTATAGAATTTGCTCGACTCAAATTTTTTCAAGTTTTTTTGTGGGATACTCGGGAATGTTGGACGGGTTGATGAAATTATAACACGCGTTATAACAGTAGAAATCGAATGGAATTTATTCACAGCGAATGTGTCGATGTTTACACCTTGAGAGCTATGACGAATCTGTCTCTCGCGACGATATAGGCAATTAGATCATCCGATCGAGGGTGCCCGAAATATGACGAATCGTCAGGAGGTGACGTAGTCAGGTATTCGGCTACTAAGCCGGTGCGAATACAATATAGTGAAATAATTAGAACGATAAATAAGTAGCTTCGCTACGATACTCCCCTTCTGTGTCGGGAAAAAAAGAGGGAGTTAGCTATGTACAATATATACAATATAGGCAATGTATACGCGTTAAAATGGCACTAAAAACGGTATACGTGATTTGAAAAGAAAATTGAATATTGAGTGAGTTTATTGACTGAACCTGACGCGTTTTCGTACTGGTCGAGGAGTTGAGTCCAAAGATGATCTTGCGTCACTCGATGGAGCCCAAGATGATGATCTGCGTCTAGATGGTCCAGGTTGCGGTGAGGCATCTGGTGTCGTACCAGGGGTCGATTGTTCTGACGACGGTAATAGAGTGTCGTCTGAATCGTTGTCGTCATCCGGCAAGTCAGCGTCGGCTGCTTCGTCTTCGGCAATGGAAAATACTGGCTTCAGACGGTCAATGGATACGACAGTTTCTTGACCATTGATCCAGACGACGAAATGCTTCTCGTGTCGCGATATGACACGATGTGGTCCTTCATACGGTGGCGTAAATGCATGATGAGCAGCGTCTAAACGAACGAAAACGTGCGAACATTAGGCGAGTTCTTTAAATACGAATACCTTACGTTGGCCGTGTCGTGTGCCGGGAACTGGAGCGAGCTCAGCGAAGTGGTTTCTGAGTCTGTCGGCAATCGTTACTGCCGGTAGGCCATTGTTCGGAGCAGGAGCGAGAAATTCTCCTGGTAATCGAAGTGGCTCTCCAAATACGATATCGGCAGATGTGGCGTTAAGATCGTCTTTCCACGCTGAACGAATTCCAAAAAGCACGGTGGGGAGGGTATCTACCCAATGAGGACTCTCGTGACACCGTATTGCTGCTTTGATTTGGCGATGTAGACGTTCCACCATGCCGTTAGCTTGCGGGTGAAACGCCNGGGGGCAGGAGCGAGAAATTTTCCTGGTAATCGAAGTGGCTCTCCAAATACGAAATCGGCAGACGTGGCGTTAAGATCGTCTTTCCACGCTGAACGAACTCCAAAAAGCACGGTGGGGAGGGTATCTACCCAATGAGGACTCTCGTGACACCGTATTGCTGCTTTGATTTGGCG